AATGCACCAAATTATTTTAATTTGTCCATTAATATTTTAATTGACTTAAAAGGAACTTCCAGAACCAACGCCAAGTCATCTGCCAAAGCCCTTAACTTGTAAGTTTCTTTTTTAAACTTTACTCCCACAATCCTCTCATTTTGTCTTATATCTCTATTCAGTATTTTAAGAACCAAAATAAACGAGAGGAGACAGTGAGCATCCCTGTCTTGTTCCTTTTTATATCTCACAGGGTTTTGTTAGATCTCCATTAACAATTGTTTGTGCTTTCTGTGAAGTGTAAATCGATCTTACCCATTTTATAAAGTTTTCTCCAAAATTCATCTTTCAAAACCTTGAACGAGAAACCCCAGTTCAAATTGTCAAAGGCCTTCTCTGCATCTAAGAAGTTCAGTGTAGCTTGTTTTGCTCCAAATATTCCAAAATGTCCAACACATTTCTAATATTATCCTTTAACTGTTTTTTAGGTAAAAACCCACACTGATTTCTTACAAAATTATTTTCAGTCTATCAGCTAGAATCGCTGTGAACAACTTGTAGTCCTTATTTAATAGTGATATCAGCCTATAGTTTCTTGTTAAAGTCAAATCTTGTCTCTCTTTAGGTATTAATGCTATACTGGCATCTTTCCAACTCTCTGGCATCTTCCTCCCTGTAGGATAAAGTTCATTGTGTTTTGTAAAGGTTGTAAAAGTTCATCCTCAAAACATTTATAATAAGAACTTGATAATCCATCTGGTCCAGGCACCTTTCCGTAAAGGTTGTAAAAGTTCATCCTCAAAACATTTATAATAAGAACTTGATAATCCATCTGGTCCAGGCACCTTTCCGTAAAGGTTGTAAAAGTTCATCCTCAAAACATTTATAATAAGAACTTGATAATCCATCTGGTCCAGGCACCTTTCCTAATTTAATCTTTTTTATAACTTCAGAAACTTCCGTTATTGTTATAAGGGAAGTTCATAATCTGTCTCGGTTCCTCTGTAATCCTTGGTAAATTTTGTTTCTTTAGATATTCATCTATTTTCTCTAGAGAAATGTCACTTCCTTTATACAAGTTGGAATAACATTGATGAAATACTTTTTGTATGGCCATGTTGTCCATTAATACAATATCTCCCTCTTATAATTTCAATATCATTTTCTTTTTCTTTTCATAATTTATATGTTAGCTACTTCCCTGGTTTATTTGCAAACTAATTTTTTTTTGCTTTATATAATTCTTTTTTATTTTCATTTCTCTTACTGTTAACATAGATAATTGTTGTTGTAAAAATGTAATTAATAGAAGTTAACATTTTTCATTTCATTAATTGGTTATAAATAGTTGAGTGTATATATCATTTTAAAATGGGTACCACATTCTAATGAGTCAGACAAATTGGAATAGGTGCAAATAAGGGCAACAAGGAAGATTAAAGGATCAGAAACTAAAAGAGAGATTAGGGGAAATGGGCTTGTTGAGCCTTGAGGAAAGATGACTAAAGAGTAGTATGATAGCAAAATATTTGAAGGAATTTCACACAGAAGAAGGCCGAGACCAGTGTAATATCATCTGAGTGCAAGACCAAAAAGAGTATCAAATTATAGGGAGGCTGTGTCAGGTTTAGCCCCAGGAACCCCAAGAGACAATGCAAAATCAGTTCAGCTGTGTTTATTAGCTACAACCTCTAGCAAGAATCTCCC